CCCCAAAACCCCAAAACCCCAAAACCCCAAAACCCCTCTTTTAAGACAGATAATAGAAATATTATGATAGCAGGAATAAAGTTAATGTTAGTTTGTGACTGATATCAACAAGTCTCCCATTCGAGCTCTATGAAAGCTAAAGACAAAGGTAATAATACTTTAAACTCTTTCTTTGTGCTGCTTAAAATGATATCTCCTTCCTAGCCTGAATAATTCATACCTAAAAATGTAGTTGTTCCATATTTAATTTATCTTGGCAATAATTCATAAAAAATTCGGAAGAAATGATTAGGTCCTTGAGTAAAATTTATCCAACTCACCCAATATTTTTGTATTCGTTATCATTAAATCATCAATAAAACCACTTTCTGGCTCGGGGGTCTCTCCTGTTAATACTTTTGTGCTACAAAAGAAAATATCCAAGTAAATTATAAGCTACATCGGCATCGATTGCATGAAATGCGAATTTTCATCCAGTTTCGCCATAATTTTTAATGATTTTGGCTAGCAACCCTATTAGTTTTATTAGCCAAAATTATAGATGCTGCACGCTAGAAACAATCTTTCCTTAGGAAAGGATTTCTATGCTACCAAGTTTAGGAAAAATCATGAAGCAGAAGTTTACTTTACCCAACATTTATAACCACTATTAAAATCTTAGTTTTCTGAGGGTAACAATGGCTCCGAATTAAGGGTAGTCTAACAAATCATTTTATTAGCAGATATTTATGTACTTTGCTGTTTTGCTTAGGTATCTGATAGATCTGGAAGTAGAAATATTCTCCCAATTATGAAATATAACACTGGATATAGATGAAGGAAAAACAGTCTTGGCAACTAAATGGAAAAGATTGGGCAAGCAAGATAATAAAGAAGAAAATATAAATTTTAAGAAAAACCTAACGATAAGGAAATCTATCCAAACTCCTGAGCAAGCGATTCAGAAAGGTGCTGCCCCTTCCATTACTCACACTTTTAAGAAGGACACGGATTTGAAGGATAGATGTCAGCCAAATTTCTCTAATTTGGCTCAAAAAGAAGAGCAAGAATGTGACGTGGAAGATCCCTCTGATTATATCCTTCCAAGAGAATCAAATAAAGTTAATCCAAAAATGAAGGAGCATGATTCTTTCCATAACTCAGCTCTGTATTGTCAAAACTGAGGAGAGAAGAAGGTATGTGTCTTCTAATTGCAATTTTTAAATTTATAGAATTCAGCAATTCTGGGTTGTCAATGAAGCAAGAGAAAATTATTCAAACATAAGATAAGAAAAAATAGCGAGTTCACCCCTTGTAACAGCTGACATTTGGAGAAATCTCTGATTCCCAGAGTAGTTGTGAAGAGGCCAAGAAAATACTCAAAGGCAGAGAGCATCTGTAGAAGTCTTAGAGAGATGATTTAGTAGCAAGCGATGGAAAAGCTATTTTTTAATCCTTTTTACCTATTCCAATTATTTTATTTCCCAGCGGGGTTTTGGGGTTTTGGGGTTTTGGGGTTTTGGGGTTTTGGGG